CTTTTAAGCCATGTTTTGTGTGCTTTTTAGGTGTATTAGTTGAATCAATCAAACTTTATTCCACTTCACAGAAACTCAACACAACCAGCGGTTTGGCGGTGTAATTGCAGAGTAACGCAGACACACTACCACAGAAGTATAAACGCTCACAATGGCTTAGGCCACTTACATAGGCTATGGTGTAGAGCCTACACAGAAGTATGAGGGTTGTAGATTGTATGTACTGTATGTCGTGGGTAATGTTTCTTTGTTTGTTGTTGTCTGGGAATGTGCTCTCCTTTGCGTGGGCAGAGAGTGCCACTGAGCACAAGCATTTCACTGTAATTTTTTTTTTTAACATATGACACTGATTCGAACCTGAACTTGAAAAGTGGGCAGACAGACAAGACGGTACAGTACACCTGAGTAAACCATGCTAGCAGGTGAGTCTTTAGATTTGTTGTTGTTGTAGAGTAAGACTGCTTCTATGTACACAGTCAACAAATGGCCTTTAAATTTGTTGGAAATTTTGCCATCTACAGTGTAAAACCCCAAATACTTGGACAAACTGCTTCTCAGGTGCTGTGGGCTGGTGATTGCCAGATCAGAAAGGCTTTGCTTGTGAGTGTCCTCATTCATTTCTATTTATTAGCTCAGCTTACTGATAGGTAACATAAAACCTGCTAACATCTGGCTTTTCAATGCAGTGGGAAAGGTTTTAATAGGCAGTTATCACAGGTATTTACCGCCTCCAGCTCTGATCGGCAACATCCAGGTGAACGCACTAATTTTAGCTCTTTTACTGGCGAGAGACAATGATGAGCCATGGTCAAAATTTGTCTCCACCAAGTTTGAAAGAGAGACTGAATAAGTAAGATTTTTTTTAAAAAAAAAGAAGTAACCACGATAAAGTTTTCATAGGCCTCCATGCTCCTCTCGACTGTACTCTCTACTCGAGTTCAAAGGTTCAACTCCCCTCCCCCTCTTTCACCTCACTCTATCCCCCAACTGTCTTTGTTTCCGTCTTTTCTTTGCTTCCTCTGTCTCATACCTATCTTCGCTGCCCATTTCTATCCCCCTCAATCTCTTCCCAGCTGATCTTCCCTCCTCCTTTCCTCTATCCATCCAAACTCCTACCTCCTCTGTGATTAATCTTCACTGGTCTCTCTGTCTTCCACGTCTCTATCCCTGATGCTTCTTCCTTCACACTTCTCTTGCTGCCTCCTCTGTGCTTTATCCTCCATTTCTGCCTCATCCTCTGTTCAATTTAAGCCTCTCTCCTCCTTTCCCTCTTTCTCCATACCCAATCCCTCCCTGCATCTCTCTTTCCACTGCTCGACCACGGTGATCCTGAGGTTAATTAGCCCTCCAAGTGTCAGACTGTTAGATCCCCTCTGCCTACCTGCTAGCTACCCTGTGATTGCCTCAGTAGGAGGGCTAACAAGCTCGGGAATCAGACATTGAAGCAGGCAGAAAGTAAGAGGAGGGGGGAAAAATGAAAAGAGGAAGAGCAAGGAGAAAGCATGGAGAGAATAATGATTTCAAGGGAAATTTAGGGGGAGACAGATGTGAGGGATGAGAGGGGAAAGGAGAGATGACAGCTGAGCCATAATGGGGAAGCAGAGAGAACAGAGGAGAAGAGACAAGAGGTAATGTAGAACAAATGAGAGGGGGATATGTAAGGATAGTGAGGGGATAGATGAGGGAGTGAGAGCTGTGTCAGGTGGACGGGTAAATGAAGGAAGCCTAGTTAGGTGCGAATAAATGTGGATGAACCAATCAGACAGTAGAAGGAAAAAATAAATGACAGGAGACATAGAAAAGGGGGATTTAATTTAGTATTAAGTAGGAGAATAATGGACTGTGCGATATATCGATATATTTTCAAGCAAGATATAAATTTAGACAACACCATTTATGTCAATATAGGGTCAAGGTGCGTTACATGACGCACACCAGTGTGCATCTCTCCTCTGTCACACTCTGCACAGCTGCAGCAACACTTTTTAGAGCCCTGGCCTGACATACACCTCCCCAGAAATGTAACTACACTTCGCGGCGACGCAGACCTCCTGTCTATTTCTGTAAGCTGAAACCATTTCCCTCAGTGGAAACAAAGCTTTATTTACTTTAATTTCACACATAAGAAACAATAAATTGTGAAGACAATAAAGCCTCCACAAAAATACCATTTTAACATTGTGAGTTGTAATGGAGCTGAATTTTGTAACGTTACCTTTGTTAAAAGTTGCTGTTGTCCCTGGCTTCATATGAGTAGAGGAAAAGTCTGCTAGCTGCTGGGCTATTCTATACAATGTAAAATGCCATAGGCTTGTGCTAATAACGTTAGCATGTTGTATTTGTGGGGAAAATATGTCCAGATAAAGACAAGTGTTTGTCTGTGAATGCTGCGAGTTATAGTGAAGTTGATTTGTGTACTTGTGTTTGAAATTGTCTCTATTAAACCATGATTAATGTGTGTTTTGGAGGCGTAACTGTTGTGCAGCTGCATATTTTCAAACAGGAATAAAATCCCTGTCTTTGCATTTTATTTTTTATCAGTCTGTTTATATGAAACTTCTTGTGACATCTCAAATGTGGCTTTGACTTGCAACTGAAAACATGTGGTCCATTTCATAGAAGATACTGATATATATATTGTGTATCGCCAGTCAGCCTGTAAAAAAAGAGATATGAATTTTTGTCCATGACACTCAGCCCTAGCGAAGTGACAGGATAAAAGATAGAGGGCATGAAATAAATACAAAGAAAACGCCTGAGAATTATGGAGGTAAAAAGAAAACAATAAATGAAAAACTAGGATGACTGACAGAGTAAAAAGATACGTGATAGATGTGGCAGATGATGGATAGAGGCACAGATACAAATTGTGATTGTCAAATGTATGAAAGATGGCAGATCAAGGACAATAAAGTGGCCAAATACACACACTATAAAGAGGTTATAAAAGGAAAAACCGCAGGGACAGAGTGACAGTAAAGAGACAATAGGGAAGGAAAAGATAATTAAAAAAGAGAAGGCTGAAGATGGGGGTCGTAAGAATGTAAGAATGTATGGAGGTGATTGACAGAAGGAAGGAAGCCAGTAATAGGAGAGGATGACTGAAACAGAGAAATAAATGAGGAGCGCTGCTGATCTGATGGACGGGAGAGATGGAAAAGAGAGGAGGCTGTTAACCAAAAGACTGATAGGAGAAAGATAGGAATGAAAAGTAGATAGAAAGGGACAGAAAGGTAGATGCGGGATGATATAAAAGTGTAAACAGACATTGAGGTAGAAAATCAAGCAAAGAGTGCTGAGATAATAACTTTGAAATTGTCATTACTGTTATTGTTACTCAATTAAATTCAACCCTCTTGACTGTGTTAAACAAGAGCAGGTATTCCAACTGTGAGGAAACTTGCCAATGATTACACAAGCAATTTGCAACCTCATAAAAAAAGATGGGGAAAAGAAACTCTTAGGAAGGGTTGTGTGTGTGTGAGACAAATGATAAAATAAACAAATACTTGCACTTCAAGATTTTCTTTTGAATCCTAATCAAAAGAATAATTTTTAACCAGTTCAACATTTGCAGGAGAATCATGAACAAACACTTATTAAGCTTCTAGACAAAACTGGACTGATCCAGATCAGCTCGTTGATGACCATATGATGCCATTTTAACACTGCCTTGATTTGAATCCAACTTGAGCAACACCTGCATATTATCTATGGTCTAATGGTGCTGGATGTCATGTGAAAACTGTGTCAAGAAAACTGCATCAACTCTATGAACTCTTTATGTTTCTGTAATTGTTTGTCTCTCAGTGCTAATTCATCAGGCTCTCATCAGTGAAGCAGGACTATCAAAGTGATTGGCCAAAATGAGCACTTGGCTATTGACCTTAATTGGAAATTATGATTTGTGATTCCAGAGGTCTTTCTTCTTGGTGTGTTTTCACAGCAGGGGCAGGTAATCAAACTAGTGTTCAATCCAAAGTAGCAACAATGCCACCCAAGCGACAGCTGGATTTGTCAAAAAAAACAGGCAACTACTTGCAATGCGCCGTTCTGCAACATTCTCAAGACCTGCTGGTTCACACCAATGCAACTAGGTGAGATTGCGTATCATCTCTATGCAACAACTCTCTGTACTTCTGTTCTGATTTGCAGCTTTTCAGGTTTATTTTGTGGCTGAATATAATTTGTAGCTTCTTAAAATATGAATGAGGATAGTGATAGTGAGATACTGGCTATAGCTGCATTTGTAGTGATGAAACAAAAAAACAAAACGAGTATCAGATGGACTGTATAAATACACCACAATAATATAAGAAAGTAGCGCCAGAAGGACGGAAACAGAGGTCTTGGCGGGGATGCAGCACCTGCCTTAGCAAGTGAACACGCCGTCTGCTGTCATTTTGACTTGACCAGCGGACGTCAGGACAAGCCAGCTGGCTGTAGAAACAGGTGATGTGCCTTAAAACCAGCCGTGGGTGATTTGAACAGCGGAGTTGCAGGTGACACCATCAGGTGGCTTCAGTCAAGCTCAGATCGGCCAGCTCACACCGTTGGAAATATGGAAATGACTGAAAATATCCATCCCCAATTTTCATATGTATACAAAATCTGTGAGAAACTAGTTTCCTCTTGTGGTCCGAGTAGAATTGACCGATCACGTTTGAGCTGGTTTTGGTTGCCTACAGATAAATAACCTGTGTGGAGAGACAACAATGTGAAACATATTGGCCCATCTGCAATCTCAGAACTCTTGGGCTATCGTCCGACCTCGATTTTACTATTTAGTAGCTTTGTACTATTTTATCAGCGTTTACATCTGTTAAAAGAGATCAGAAATGTAGTCCAGGCTAATCTAACGGAAGTCTGGACTGGATATCTGTTGGCAATGTGGGAACCACCAAGATATGGGCCAGACACAGAATTTAGACCATCAACAACCAAGAACTCCTGATCGTGTTGTTATTTTCATGTGTATAAAAAGAAGTTCAGGTACACACCACGCCAAAATCCAGATTCTGTTCGATCCACTCCTGGCCGTCCTTGAACTCCTCGTGCAGGCCCATGATGTAGAGGGTGTCTAAGGCATCCACAATGGTCGCCCCTAGTTGGGAATTGCCTGCAAAAGACAAACGGTAAAACAATTAGGAAAATGAGATTCATTTGTCCAGTCACGCACTAACTAATTCCCTTCATACAAAACCTCACACCTCTGGGAGTTATGAGTGGAAAACTAATCACAAAACACAATGGGCCTAATTTGTGGAAGGAGAAACTAAGATAGTATTTGTTGCATTGGAATATAAGACAGTACTCAGATGAATTTTAATTTATGCAATTAAAACTTTGCTGCATGTTCATCCATGCACAGCAACACAGGAAGAAGATGCAAACTCAATTTAGAAAGAGATGTAAATTGTGCTCAGACAATCACTGGGGGGAATCAATTGATATGTTAAATGAAGATGAGTCAGATAACATCTTGCTTGGAGAAAAGACATCTCTTCCAAGCAATTAAATCTGTGCAATGTTACCCACCAACCAGCATGAGGCACTGTGACATGAGCTGACCGGTTAAACACTGAGCACATACTGTGAATGGGTCTGTTCAGCTCTTTTTGTATCAATCATCTGACGACTTCTCCTGTTTACACACTCATTCTTCCTATTTTTTCAACTCTCATGTATAATTTTTTGTATATTCTTTCTTTCTCTTCCTCTTTGGCCAACAGCAAGAACCAGAGAGAACTACTGGTGGGTGAAAGTGAGCATGTATTGGAAGAATAAGAAGGTTGTGGACAAAAATAAACAAAGTGTGAATTGAGAGGAGCAAAGCAGGGCTTGTAAACAGACCAGAGAAGCTAAAGAAATATCAGGAAGCCTCAAAATAATTGTACTACTGACTATGATTTTAGTTATTCACCAGGAGAGCCTCTCTCTTCATTGGTATTTCATTAAATTATATTAAAATTAGTCTGATCAATATTCCCATCCTCTAAACCACCTTGCATGAACAAACATACAGGAGAATATTGAAATCTGACTACACTATTATTATGATTAATATGCAACAAGGACTGGGTAATATGGCCTATAAATAATATTCTGATAAATCAAGCACTGTTATATAAAGTTAAATAAAGTGCTGTTACGTAAAATTAAATAAAGTACTGTAGCATGAAGTTAAATAAAATACTGTTAAAATAAAGTTAAATAAAGTACTGTTACATAAAGGTAAATGAAGTACTGTAGCATGAAGTTAAATAAAATACTGTTAAAATAAAGTTAAATAAAGTACTGTTACATAATTAAAATTAAGTATTGTTACATAAAGTTAAATAAAGTGCTGTTACATAAAGTTAAATAAAGTACTGTTACATAAAGTTAAATAAAGTACTGTTACGTTAAGTTAAATAAAGTACTGTTACATCAAGTTAAATGAAGTACTGTTACAATGAAGTTTAAAAAAGTACTGTTGCATAAAGTTAAATAAAGTACTGTTACGTTAAGTTAAATAAAGTAGTTACGTAAAGTTAAATAAAGTGCTGTTACATAAAGTTAAGTAAAATACTGTTACATAAAGTTAAATAAAATACTGTTACATAAAGTTAAATGAAGTACTGTTACAATAAAGTTTAAAAAAGTACTTTTACATAAAAATAAAGTACTATTACATAAAGTTAAATAAAGTACTGTTATGTTAAGCTAAATAAAGTACTGTTACAATAAAGTTAAATAAATCACTGTCTTAATAAAGTTAAATAAAGTACTGTGACGGAAAGTTAAATAAAGTAGTTACATAAAGTTAAATTAAGTATTGTTACATAAAGTAAAATCAAGTACTGTTACAATTAAGGTTAATAAAGTACTGTTGCATTAAGTAAAATACAGTATAGTTATAATCAATTTAAATAAAGTACTGTTACAATAAAGTTAAATACAGTACAGTCATTATAAAGCTAAATAAAGTTCTCTGGTTTGTATATTGATCATATTTGCAAGTCGCACCAGTGGTCTTCTGGTTAACAAATGCGTCTACACGGTCTCGGCCTGGAGCCCTATAGAAACAAAAACACACACACTATCACCCAGGACAGAGTGGTCTGGATGGGCGGGGGAGTGTTTGTCATCTTTTATCTTCCCTATGTGTCTCTGAGAGGCAGAGAGCCACAGGAGAGAGAGCGAAAGAACCAAAACACCAAAGCGAATCTCATGCTGTGATATATTCATTTCACACATCCCACATGAAACAAGACGCAATACATGGAGTAAAATCAATATATCTCCCACCCTTACATGCAACATCTCCACTGACTGCAAAGTAAAGTAATGGACATGCAGCTGTAGCTTTGTTGCCCTTGCACAGAGCATCCAACTGCACTGGGGATGTTCAGTGCCCTGCAGCCATGTATCTCTTGTATCAAGGTTAAAATGAATATTTGAACAGCCCTCATATGATGTACGATGGCCCCCATCAACCTGCATCTGTGACCAGCGGGAATTAAAACATTGTTGTGCCTCAACCCATCTACATCCCCTGAATTACAGCAATCTGCAGCTGACACATTTGGGTCAACGTCTCGCAACAGAGATAAGACATCAAGTTAATTAGTACAGAGATGAAATATCAAAGGTGTCACATCATCATAAATAATTTGCTGCGTTCACTTGTGAGCCGTGGCTCAGATGCCATGGACGTTACAGCTGAAAAGCGTTGTGATTCTATTCATATTTATAACATAGCTTTCTGTCAATAGGGAGAAACACATTACAGTACAAGCCACAACTCTCAGATAGAAGTATAGACAATGTTGTTTCCCTATCATTGATCAGCTGCACTGTAAACCCCTGCACATACATTATTTGGTGTAACAGTGAAATAAAACGTTGCTTATTGCTCCTTTAAGTAAGCTGCAACTCATCAAGCATTGTTGGTTCAACTCACTGCTACGTTTTCACTCTTGATACTGTTCATCATTGTAATATTACTCCAGCTGATGTCAGCAGTTCTCTGGCTTCAGCTTTGGGACTGTTATCTCCTAATAACGCTCAGCCATTAATGTTGTGCTTTTTAAGTACTGCAGGCTTTGAATGTCTTGTTACAATCACATCCCCACAAGGTAAACAAGGTGACCTTCATTTACAAACCGGGAATACAAGTCAGTCAGTCTTTGTGCTTCAGCCTGGGCGGTTTTTTAAATCCGTGTAATTTCCTTTATTCCGTTAATTGTGGTGATGCTCCACAGCTGGACAAGTGAATATGAGTCATTTCATCTTGCTGCTTTCAAAGGTTTATTAAATGTTTAATTTTGTGCTGTTCGTCATTGTTGTGTTTTCTCCGCCTGGTGATGGATATCTGCATGTTTTTGTTTCTGCACTCCTGCGACAGAAAATGTCAGCACATCATTTAGTTAAGATAAAAATGCAAGAGTTATGCTAATGAGATCAATAATTAATTAGAGATACTTATCATGAGTTGCACATGTTGTGACAATCAGGAATTTTAAATGTATAGAACACAGTGTTTCCCCTCAGTTGATTGCTTTGGCATCACGGAGGATGGGGGGTAGGGGCTAGGACTCTAGGGGCGGGAATCTCCAGGCACCTCAGGATACGATTTGATTACAATTCAGAGGGTAACGACTCGGTAATGAAATGATCGATGCATCACAATGTTTGCCTTCAACACATGATTTATTTTTCTCTTTCTTTTAAAACATAGCAGACTGTACTTTTAGTGATCCATTATTAAACAAACTGATTATTTACTTGCATACCGCTTGGCTCTTGTTGAGGTCCCTTTCCATTTCAACCTTCCTCCATACCCTCACTTCTGAACCAGGGGGTGCCAGTCGTACCATCTGTTGTATCCATCTGCGGATGCTCTCGCTTGTCCATTGTGGGATATAAATGTATATGGGATATACACACACCTGCGTAGGGTCCAGTGTTTGCACAGCCTACTGTAATATTTCCCCTGAAACAGAATGCAGTTCACATTCTGTTAATATATGGTCCTGGTCAGCTGGTTTACATGCTGCTCCTCTTGTTAATGTTAGTCTCATTCTCAGCTTTAACACTTTACAGTTTCTTTAGATATCTTTCGATTACTTTTCCAAATTCTATCAGTCCACAATCCACACATACGACTCTTCACACCGGCATAAATTTGATCCACCGCACAGCATTTACTGAATTATAAAATAATTCACTTTTAAAGCTGGTTACTGCTGTAATTTCCTTCTTTCAAAACAGTAGTAAAGAACGTCATGAGAAAATACCAGGAGTTGAGTTTTCATTAAAACCAAATTATGACCGGTGCGTTAACTGCATGCCAAATTAATCAGAGCACACAAGTTACCATATGACTGGTAGAACTTCAAAGACTATCATCAAAATACCATCACCATCTGTTTTTGCAGTTTGTGTGAAGTGTTTCGCTGAGGGACGCACAGGGGAAACACTGAAGTAGATATTTGGCGTTATTTTTGTTTGTTTTTTTTTGGCCTGGTGGGGGCTTCCCATTAGCCTGGCGCCCTGCCAAGCCCGTACAATTACAGGAAACACTGGGCCAACTATTTACCCGTCAGTTTTGACCAGTTGCAACCAGCAGTCACTGTGAATGTTGCGTTGTGCTACACCACCCAGCTACACTCAGCTACTATGTTTCTCCTCTGTTTCCAGATGTATTCCTAGGTAGTTCAACATGTTGGTGTAAAATGGTTCAGGTGAACCAAAGACTCCACAGAACTCAGATTACAGGCAAAGGCTGACATTCAGGATTGATGATGTTGTCATAATTCTACTTTGACACTTTAAAGCAACCTTTGGGCACCACTTCTACACAGACAGAACACCTCTGTGTCATTACACTAATGAGGCATTAGCACATTATTATGTAGACATAAAATTGTTGAAATGATATCTTATTTATCAAAGGTCCATTGTGTAAGATTTACAGGGATACACCGGCAGAAATGGAATATAATATAATTAGTATAATAAGTATGATTTCTTTGGTGTATAATCACCTGAAAATAAGAATCTTCTTGTTTTTGTTACTTCAAAATGAGTCATTAATATCTACATATGGAGCAAGTCCTCGTGCATACATACATT